ATATATACACATACATACATACATACACACACACACACACAACACGTGTCCATGCTTTTAAGAATGTGCATGATACAGGCAGTTACTGACGGATTAGAATACAGGCAGTTACTGATGGATTAGAATGTTTCATATGTTTCTTTATTCCTTTGTTGTCAGCATTGTTGTTAGGTGCCATGGAGTCAGTTCCCACTCATAATGATCCATATACAACAGAAGGAAACACTGCCCAGTCCTGCACCACCAACCTCAAAATCATTGCTATGTTTGAGCTCATTGCTGCTACCAAGGTGTATTTTAGCACACATATTTAAAATCACATATGTGCTTTTGAAATTACTATATTCCTTTTTTACCTACTTTCATATATTTATATAAACATGTTTCAAAATTCTTTTGTTGCACTTTCCATTCCATTGTTTTAGTGATCCCTGGAGTCCTGGTGTGGTGATATGGGTTAATGCGCTAGACTGCAAAGTCAATTTGAACTGCAGAGTCGGTGGTTCAAGCTCACCAGCTTGGAAACCCTATGCAGGGTTGTTATGGGTCAGAACTGACTCTATGACACTTAACAACAACAACAACAAGAGCCACACTAAGTCGATTAGAAGTTTCCAAAGTGCATCACCCTCAACCCTGGCTGATGTGTTTGAGATGCAGCACTTTGGAAGTCCATGAAAGCGGCTCTCATTCAAGTGCTACCCTTGTACTCTCTTAGCTAATTTCAGGGGAGTGGGTGTTCATTTTCCCTTTGATCTTTGTGATCTCCACAACATTACCTTGGACTGACTGCTTGCTTTCCAAATGAGTTGGAAGATTTGTTTACGATATAACATGCAGCATATCCCATCTGAAGCCCCAGCAGTGATGTCGACAGCTGCAGTGACATCATCACTTCAGGGCGCTGTTTCCGTATTCAAGAAGGTGACTTCCATAGGATCCGCAGCATGCACTAATTGAGGTCACAGGAGGCTAATGTGCTTCCCTAACAGGGATCGTGTTTTTCTTGTTTGAAAAAAAATTGTGTTTGCTGTGTGACAGAGCGAGCAGACATACGGAAAGGCATGACCCTTCCTGAGTGAATAAAACCTAATGACTTGCTTGTCTTTGACACCATACAAATGGTTCCAGATCCCTGCAGCAGGGGCATTGGGGGAGGCCTGAGAGGGAAGAGCTTCCGGAGAATGTCCCTTTTCCCCAGTGATGCTCCAGAACAAGACCACGTTCTCTCATTGTCTTTCTTTCTGGGGGCAGGGGGCGGAGGGTGTCTGGATCTCCCGGGAATTGATGACCTCATAGAGGAAGAGAAGTAGGTGAGGTAGAGCAGAGAAATGGCATTTTTGGGAGACCCTAGGCATCAGTCCTTTCTGTGCGAGGTTAGGAAAACCTGTCCCCAGGAGTCCTGGTGTGGCATTATAAACCTGGACTGCTAACCACAAGGTTGGTGGTTCAAACCCACCAGCCACTCCTCGGAAACCCAGTACAGGGTTGCTATGAATTAAAACCAACTCGAAGACACTTAACAACACCACCAATCCTCCAGGCAGGTCTTGGATAGGAATTAAATGATATAATGCAAATTAAATTCAGGTTGCCTGGCATAGTGCTTGTCATATATACAAGCTCCAAAAATGTTGTTGTTGTTGTTGTTAAGTGCTGTCGAGTCACTTCAGACCCATAGCGACCCTGTATAGAGTTTCCAAGGAGCAGCTGGTGAGCTTGAACCACCAACCTTGAAGTTCAAATGGCTTTGCAGTCTGGCACATTAATCCACAGCGCCACACCAGGACTCCTATTAGTGGATCTTACTTGATCAGGAGTTCCTGGGTAGCACAAACAGTTAAGCTCTCATCTAGTAACCAGAAGGTTGGTGGTTTGAACCCATTCTTAGATACCTCAGAAGAAAGGCCTGGTGATCTGTTGTATATGTGGTCACCATGAGTCAGAACTGACTAAAAGATACTATTAGGTGGGTCCATGGCAGGATTCTTACCTTCCAAGCAGTAGACCTATGTTCAGTTCCTGGCCAATGTACCTTCTGCACAGTCTGCTTCATCATCTGACAGTGAAGGTTTGCAGGTTGCTGTGATTCAGAACAGGTTTCACAGAAGCTTCCAGACTAAGATAAACAAGGAAGAAAGGTCTGGTGACATCCTTAGAATATCAGCCAGTGAACATTCTCTACATCACAGCCATGTGTTCTGCAGATGCTCACAGGTCAGTCCCTGGGGCTCTACAGTGAGTAAAACAACCTGACAGGTCACCCTGTGGAGTCTGATTTAGAGGTTTCAATGAGGAGCTGGGAGTCCAGGGAGACTGCATTCACCTCTGTGGTTTACTGTTGGAGGGAGGGAATCCAGGAGACGTGGGTGGAGGCAGCCTTAAAGAGAAAGCAAGGCAGGCTGAGCTTCTGAGTGTACCTCAGGCCCAGCTGGCTAGCCAGCTGCCAGGTATACTGCCCTTTCGTGTTTGAAATGTGAGCCATTTAGACAGTGGGCACTGTTGTTATTGTTATAGGAGAAATGTGTGTGTTAGAATGTGGTTAGGATAAAGCTTTCCCTGGTCATCTGATACTGCAAAGATAAGCTGGAATTTCGGGAGCTGTTTAGCTGAAGAAGGGGCCTTGGTGGCGCAGTGTGGGTGAGCATTGTGCTGCCGGCTACAGTGTCAATAGTTCAAAACCACCAGCTGCTCTGCAGGAGAAAGATGAGGCTGTCTGCTCTCATCAAGATTTATAGCCTTGAAAATCCTAAGGAACAGTTATTTGGGTCTAGGGTTCTGGTGGCGCAGTGGGCTAAGCACTTGACTTCAGACCCCAAGGTCAGTGGTTCAAACCTACCACCCATTCCACAGTAGAAAGATGAAGCTATCTGCTCCTGTAAAGATTTACACACCCAGAAACCCTATTGGACAATTCTACAAGTCAGAATCAAATCAACAGCTTTAGGTTTGGGGTTTCAGTTGGAGAAAGTGGAGCTTCCATGGAGGAAGGTTGCTGGGAGGAGGGAGAGGGGAAGGGACAGAGAGACGGTAGGGGGGAACGATGGCAGGGAAAGCAGCCCTGGGTACCAGACCCTGGGGCTGCTGTCCATCTGCGGCACTGACCAAAAGTACTTTGGGGAGCTAAGGAAGGGCAATAGACGGTCTCATTGGCACCCCCCCTCCAGGCCCTTCCTGGTTACTTACAGCTGCAGGGGGGCCTCTTACACATGTCCTGGGTGGCAGATGTTTCATCAGCATGAATAGATTCTGGCTTCACACAGGGTTAGGTTAGAATCCCAGCTCAGCTCCCTACAAGCTCTTGATTTGAGACAAGTGATTTGATCCCCGAAACTCTCTGTTCCTACAAAGGAGTAAAGAGTTCTGCCTAAATTCTCTAGTGCCGCTGCAGCACAAACACCAAAAGTGAGTGGCCTTAGCAAGCCATTTTATTTTTTCACAGTTCAGAAGGTTAGAAGTGCAAGTTCAGGACCACACCGCCGGGGAAAGTCTCTCCCTCTGTCAACTTGGTAGGAATGTCCTAGTCTCCCCGCTCCTATTCCTTGACTTCTGGGTGATGTTCATGTGGTGTACGCAGCATCTCTCTTCCTTTCATCTTGCTTTCTTGCTTCATCTCTTTTCTGTTTCAGAAGAGATCAACTTAAGACACACCTACATTAAACCTGCCTCATGAACAACCCAAGGAGCTCTGGTAGCGTAGTGGTTATGAATGGGGCTGCTAATCTCAAGGTCAGCAATTTGAAACTACCAGCTGGTCAACAGGAGAGAGATAAGGCTTTCTGCTCCCACAAAGATGTATAGCCTCGGAAACCCTATTCAGGGTCACTGTGAGTTGGAACCGACTCCACAGCACACCACCACCACTACCATTCCCAAATGCAATTATGACCACTACAGAGCTTATGATTCACAGCACATATTGCCTGGGACACAATTCAATCCATAGCCCAAAAGGGCTCCAGGTAAGATAAACACTATGCAGATGGACATCTTTAAACATTTAGACAGACTTTCATCTCAGGACAGGGAAGCACATTCCCTGGAAGCAGTCAGGATATCAGCAGTGTGCTTCTGAGAAGAATGTCGTAACAAAATATGCTGGCACTGCTTGCCTACTTAGAGAATAAAACTCACTCCCCTCGACACCTTAGCTAAATGGGCAAACTTTCATTTTAAAGGACTCCAAAGCTGGAGGTGAACCAGCTGTTAACCCCCAGCCTGTCCTCTGTTGTTTGCATAAAAACTTCTAACTCAATAGAGACAAAGGATTGCTTTGTGCAGGCAAACCATGTTTCTTGCATTTTGCAGATATTAAGTTTTGCATAAATTGAAGGTTTGTGGCAACCCTGTATCAAGCAATTCTATTGGCACCATTTTTTCAACAGCACATACTCCCTTTGTGCCTGCCATATTTTAGTCATTCTCATACTATTTCAGACTTTTTCATCATATTCTTGCAAACACACTATAGTAGGAAACGTAACTTTTCTATGTACCGGAAACCAAAAAACCATGTGACTTGCTCTATTGCAATATTTGTTTATTGCGGTAGTCTGGAACTGATGCCATAGCATCTCCAAGGTCTGTCTGTATTTGTACTTAGTGACGCCTAGCTCCAGTCGGATTAGTTCTCAACATTAATACACCTAACCGAGTACAAGGTTTTTTTCCTTTGACAGCGTTTATGGCACATGGTTTTTGGCCTGGAAATGTCCGTCCTATCCAAGAGCCCAATTCCTCACGCGGATCTGTCCTGTCCACGGTGGACTGGGCCAGAGTGTCCTGCAGTCTAAACAGAAGCTGAAGCCTGAACCACATTTCCTGCATAAGTGCCCCTTTCTGGCTTGTCCATGAGCCTTCTTGCTTTTGCTGAGAAAGCATTAAAGTCTATTGCTCTTTTCTTGGGGGCAATTTCTAAAATTTTCAGTCCATTAACTAAAAAGTGGTTTCCTGAGGAAAACATTAGCTTCACCCTGGCTCATAAAGCTGTCCACATGGAGTTGGAGCCAGGGCTGGCCACTGGTGACCAGAGCTCCCTGTGTGACAAGGGGAGACAAAGTGTGAGGGGCTGGTGGGTTCTTTGATCCCTCACATACAGGAAGGAGATGGCTACTGGAGGCTGGCATCTGGTCTACTAGTGACCAAACCGGTCACTGTAGGTACAGAGATGGACCAGTAGCTACCCAGTGTTGCTAAAGCACAATACCACAAGGAGGTGACTATAACAAACAAAAGTCAATTTTTTCACTTTCAGAGGTTAGAAGTCTGAATTCAGGGTGCTGGTTCTGGGGGACAAGGGTCCTGATGATAATGTTGGTGGTTCAAACCTACCCAGCACTTCATGGTAGACAGATGTGGCAGTTTCTATGAAGATGGCAGCATTGGAAGCCATAAAGAACAGGGTCCCCACAAGTCACATGGCAGTTGGATTTGGCTCTAGGGGAAGGTTTCTTCTCTCTGTGTCAGACCTGGGGCAAGGCTGTTGTCTCCTTTCAGTTTCTGTTCGTAAGTTCCCTGGAGGTCTTCATGTAGCATGGTATCTATCCGCCTCGTTTTGTGCTTGTTTGCTTAATCTGCTCTTTTATTTCTCAAAAGAGACTAACCCAATATACACCCTACACTGATCCTGCAACCTGAGCATCACAAAGACCACTCATTCCCCAGTGGGTTATAACCACAAGTATAGGGGTTGTTGTTGTTAAGTGCTGTCAAGTCGATTCTGACCCATCGTGACCCTGTATAGGGATTCCAAGGAGCAGCTGGTCAACCTTGTATTTCAAACATTACAGTCTGATGCAGTTGCTCACAGCATGACATCTGGACCCCAAGTATGGGGATTAGGAGTACAGAATTTGATTCATAACAGTATGTGAGAGTCCCAACAGAGGGTCTAAGTCATTTGAATCCTTGATGAGTATTTGTTGAATTCACGGATGGGTGAATGAATGCTTGGGTAGGTAGTTTCTACTTTCAGGTTGCTTACAGAGATGCCAAAAGGTCAGACAGACAGATGGACAACTTGAAGACAAAGAGCTCAGAGTAATGATACTTACAAATATCTGTAAGAAGGCAGAAGAGGAAGACAGGCAGAGGTGGCTTTATGACAATGTTTGGATTGTGCTAAATCTTAAATGATGGTAGGTGTTTGAGAGTTTAGGGCATGGATGGAAGAAAATCCCAAGCAAAAGGAATAGTGTGTGCAAACCAAGGTGTAGCAAATAAGTATAGAAGAATGTGAGTTATTTTTTAGCAGCCTCCAAAGTTTGTTGACATATATGGAAGGTGACCTTCAGAAGGGGGTATATAAACACGATGCAATAATAAGAAAAGATGCATTAATTTTTAAAAAGAAACAGATACAAGAGGATGTGGATTTTTTCAGACATTTTTATATGTGTTTATTTTCTGCCTTCTATCTCTGCTGATAAAATCATAATAATGCAACTCTGATAGCTTTTTCCCTCCTCAATGAGACTTCATCATAGGTGCGGGAGTTTGGTGCCATGTTGTTTGTTTTATTAAGTATCCTAAGATAGAGAGCTTGTGGGACATACCAAAGGCCACATGGTGGAGACATTCTCCTGGAAGTCAACCTGAAGTCCTTTGATAGCTCAGTCTTCCTTCCTGAACCTCCTACTACCACAGCGTGCTGGTGACAGATCACTGGACACATTTCTTCTTAGTTCAACACACTTTTTTTTTGGTATTTTTTTCCTTATTTCTGGACTTCCTCCATACCCCAACCTTCCCATACAAATGACTTTAATCTTTACTAGTGATCTCAAGAATCTCGTTCTTCCCAGAACCAAACATGCAGACCCGTTGCCATTCAAGTCAGTTCCCACTCACAGTGACCCTGTGTGGGACTTCCAAGACTGCAGTCTTTACTGCAGCACATAGCTTCATCTCTCTCCTGAGGAGCACCTTACAAAACCACCCAGAACCAGCCATAGCAAACTGTTGTGTTTGGTTTTCAGGTGCTAGTAGTTCAAAGAATTGTGTTTTGTTTTTGTAACTTTTTATTGTGCATTGAGTGAAGATTCACAGACAAAATCATCAGCTTTACATTCAACAAATTCAATTGTGTTTCATCTCAATGATGCCAATTCCCTTCCTGCAACAGCAATTATACTGCTTCCTTCCTGTGATTCCTATTTCATTCCACCCACCTTCCCATCCTTTCTCAACTCTGTCCTTGGAAAATGTTGCCCTTTTGATTTTAAATGATTGATCATTTTATGGTGACTATATCTTGCTAGTGTTGTTATCTCCCCCTGTAAACCAATCTGGACTCCTGGTGTGACATTGTAGGATCAGCACTAGACTGCAAATCACAAGGTCGGCAGTTAAAACCCACCAAGTATACCTTGGAAACTCTATGCATGGTCACTATGAGTCGGACCTGACTGAAGACACTTAATAAAGACATATACCTATCTACTGCTTGGCTAAAAATTTGGCCATGAGGGTGAGTTCCATTCCAGATCTGAATGATGGTTGAGGGCCACAGTCTTAGGTTCTTCCAGTCTCTTTCTGACTTATTATCCTGTTGTTGTTATTTTAAATAATTTTGAGTTTTGTTCCACATTTTCTCCCACTCTGTCTGAGATCTTCTAATGTGATCCCTTTCAGGGTAGTTGGTAATGCTAGCTGGGAACCATCTAGCTCTTCCAGTCTCAGAGTCATGATGACTGATGTTCAGATGTTCCATGAGTCCATTGGACTCATTGATTCCAAGCTTCGTTGATTCTTATTATTCTTCTTTCTTCCACACATGGAAAGACCAAAAGCTATACCTTAGATGGCCACTCATGAGCTTTGAAGATCCCAGACACTGCCTACCCAAGCAGGCTGTAGAACATTGTCTTTGGGGACTATGATATGCCAGTTGAGACGATGGTCCTGAGCCCACAGGCCTAGCAACTCATTGTCTTAAGATGTTTGGTAACATTTAGGAATTTTCATCACTTTGCCTGCTGTATGCTCCAACACATTCCTAGTTGTATTTTCATGAAAGGTAAATTGTTGTTGTTGGGAAGTGCCATTGAGTTGACTCCAACTCATAGCGACCCTGTGTGGGTTTCCAAGGAATGGCTAATGAGCTTGAACTGCTGATTTCACTGTTCAAACTCACCTTGTAGTCTAGTGCATTAACACAAAGTGCCACACCAAGACTCTGAAAAGTAAATATCTATGTACAAATACCCCCTTTCAAACTCATATGTTTGTGGTGTATATGTATATATATATATATATTGTTGTTGTTAAGTTCCGACCCATAGTGACCCTGTACAGGGTTTCCGAGGGTGTAAATCCTTATGGGAGTAGAAAGCCTTATCTTTCTCCCACGGAGCGGCTGGTAGTTTCGAACTGCTGACCTTAAGGTTCGCAGCCCAATTCGTAACCACTATGCTACCAGAGCTCCATATATATATATATATACTTGTTGTTGTTGTTGTTAGGAGCCATTGAGTTGATACTGACTCATAGCGACCCTATGCACAACAAAACAAAACAAAACACTGCCTGGTCCTGGGCTCACCTCACAATTATATATATAAATTGATTTTTGTATTTTATATATATGTTTGCGTAATCACTTTTCCTCCCTTACCCATTCAGCCTATGTTTCAATCTATGTATCTATGCACTAAGCACTGTTGTTCCAAGGTTGTGCATACATCACTATTTACCTCTATCCCCTGTATCCCATGCATACTCCCTGTATCTTCAGCTGTCTTCATCATTCTTCTGCCACCCTTCCCCTTATTGCTTATTGCCATCCCCATTGCCCAAAATAACACATGTCTACCCTCTAGCCAGGGAATTACTCTCCCCTCCTTCCCACTGCTGGTAACCATCAAAGAATGTTTCTTTTAGTACGGAAACCTTTTAACCTTTTCTTTAGCTTTTACCATAATGGCCTCATACAATAGTTGTCATTTTGTGATTGACTAATTTCATGAAATTGGGTGTAAGTTCGCAGGATAAATCGGTTTTCTACTAAAATATTCACACACATGTTTTTTCATGATATTGACTGCAATCTCTACAATGTAATGACACTCTTAACACATCCTCTCTATATTTACTGTTTCTATTCATCCTCCTTTCCTAGCTCTTGTCCTCTGAGCTAAATTTATCCCTGGGAAAATGCTGCCCTTTTGGCTCCATAGGATTGATTGTTCTAAGGAGTACAGACCTCCCAAGTGTGCTGCTCACCTTATAGACCTGTCTGTTGTTTGTCTGAAAATTGAAACTTGCGGGGAGTTGAGTTTCAGGTGTGAAGGGGAACTGAGGACTGTAGTCCCAGGACACACCATATTATTCTAGAGAAATAGAATATTCTAAGTGATAATTTGAAGAAAATGTGGTGAGAGGACTCATGGCGGCAGAGGGGGGATATGGGAGCTTTGTGGGATGCTGTAACTCCCAAGGACAGAGACACAGGAAGTCATAGCCATCCATGGCTTTGGAGGGACAAGAGAAGGAAAAGGTATTCCTGACCCACACAACAGGACCTGAAGTCATGAAAGAGCTCAGAGAAGGTCACAGTTGTGAAGGAGGACAGGAGTCAGGCACTGAATCCCCTGATCTCTCTGTTCTTTTACTGTCTGAGCTCATGCTGGCTCATCCCTTTGGCATTCTTAGTGATTCTGGTCTGTAAGGAATAGCTTTCTTAGGGCACAGAGCAGAGAAGAGAACGGACCTGTGAGTCAACAGAGGAGAACCAACACACATATCCACATATCCTGATGCCTTTGCTCATCCTTCTAGTTAGAATGTCCCTCAGTCTCTCAACAGAATGAGAGGCTTGGGTTATGGGCCATCTCTTTAATGAGAGTATTTCAAGCCCTAGTCCTCCCATACCCAAGAGCTAGACTTGTATTCAGAACTTAGCAGCCGGTATATTGTCTCTGGATGGTGCAAATAGCTCATCAAAAAATTAGAGGTTCAAGTCCACCCAGAGGTGCCTCAAAGGAAAAGTGATGCACTTCCAAAAAATCATCCATTGAACTCTGGAGCACAATTCTTCTGTGTCACCCATAGGGTCACCATGAGACTGGGTCAAGTTAAACTCAACCAGTTACTGAAATTGTGACTTATGTGGCTGACTCATCTTTGTCCTCAGTGCCTATATCAATGCTTGCATTGAATAAACAATAAACATGAGTTGAATGAATATATGACTTTTGCATCCATCCAAGCAACAGACGTAGTACAGGAAAAGCAAATCATCTTGGAAGCATCATTGTTTAAAATAGATGCCAAATACAAGGTTTTCTGATGGAAAAGTTTGTAAGAGGGTAGACCAAACCTCTGTTCTCAATTATTGCTTTTCTTCCCTTCTCAGAAAAAAGTAAAAATCAGATGCATTGTCATACAGTTGCTTCTTGCCGATGACGACCCCAATGTGCTGCAGAGTAGAACTGTTCCAAAGACTTTTCTTGGCCTTAAGCTGCAAGGAAACATCTTAAATCTTAACCGCATCATCCTTTCATGGTCCCACTAGTGCTGGTAGTTGTGTTGTGGAATCTATAGCAACCCTGCATAGGGTTTCTGAGGCTGTAAATCTTTAGGGGAGCATAAAATCTCATCTTTCTCCCATGGAACACCTGGTAGTTTCAAACTAATAACCTTGAAGTTAGTGGCCCAACTTGTAACCACTATGTTACCAGAACTCTTTTTGATCCCACTGGGTAGGTTCAAATTGCCAAGTTAAGTTAATTTCTGTTATTGTTAGGTGCCATCAAGTCAGTTTCCATTCATAACACTGTCCGTACAGCAGAATGGAATGTTTCCCAGTCCACACTGAACCCTCACAATTGTAGATATGTGCAGATTAATAGTCTAGCACCCAAGGGCCCCAGAAAAGTGAATTAGAAAATATCAGTACCTAGTGTATTTTTGGTGGATGAATTTCATTGGTGGTTTGGAATCCAGGTTGAAATATGTACATGATCCAATCTAGAGTGTGTTCTGGTTGGGGTCTAGTGAGGTGTGGAGAAAGCTTGGGAAGATTGGGGAAAATGGTCATAGGTATGGGAGGGCTCATATTGGAGCCACCCTGGTCAACCTTGAAGGTTATCTGATTGCCATTGTTGGCTGAGGTCCTTGTGGAGTTGGATGAGGGTGCTGGGCTCCTGGGTGGTCTCTCAGAGTGATCTATGGAGTCCAGGTGGAGGGAGTGGGCTTCCTCGGAGTATGCAGTCAGGGATTCAGGTCAGTTGGACGAACAAAATGCCATTTTTTTTTCCATTGGGTTGACCATTTTTTTCTCTCTTTGCAGGGGGACCGAGGAACTCCTGGGATTCCTGGCTCTCCTGGCAGCCGTGGTGACCCGGGCATTGGTGCTGCTGGCCCTCCGGTGAGTCCTTGCCCTCAGGTCATGAAGCAGGGTTTCCCTGCCACCCACCCCCCCACCTCAGCTTACCAGTGAGTCACTGGTCCTGGGCTAGTTGGGTAGCAAATCAACCTTGCTGACATTGGTGCTGAAATGTGGATTCCTTCTTATGGAAATCAGACTTCTAGGGAGACCAAGTTTGCTTGTATGATTCAAAGAGCTGTAGGAGAGTAGAACTCACTACAATTAAAAACAAGAGGTGTGGGGAATAGATCCACTAGTCAAACACTGAAGAAATGAAGTGAAATCCAGCAACACTGGGCTAGTTGGGCAAGGGGTGTCATGTGGGAGAAACAATGTGCTTTCATGTGTTTCAACCTATCCCTCACCACCACCCCCCAAAAAAAGTCCATGGCCTCTCTTCGTTCAGTAATTACAGGTAAGAACATAAATGGAATTGAGAAAAGTTTCAGAATGTCCCCAAAATAAAATCCATGGAGTGATCCTTAAATTGTTAGTTTTCATGAATAATTCACATCAGCCTATTAGGTGAGAGTTTGCAAACTCTGTAGAGGTGTAATTTGAAGACTGCTGAAATCTTTGAGTTATATAGGATCACAAGGATCAATGAAGCCCAGGCCCCCATCCAAATTGAAGGCTGCCATCAGTATCCTCAACTACCTCTCAAAATAGAAGACATATTTCTTTCAAAGCCAATACGTCTGGCTTTGAAAGTTAGGCATTAATTGCAACAGAAAATAGAAATTTTGTTTGAAACCTATTTTCACAGAGAACAAGATTGTGATCTTCTGTACTTTCCACTCATTGCTTCTCATTGTTCCACAATAAAAAACACATTAAAAAATTCTTCCCCTCTATTGAATGACAGATTTCACAATTTGACGCAGATTTTTTATCCTGAGATTTGATCTTCTTCTGTTTTGCCTTTATTTGCTCAAGGCACCATACCTTATTAACAGCTTAATTGTGTTTACTTTTTCCTTGATAGTCATATCCTACTATTATTTTTAAAAGCTCAAATACCTAATACTTTTAAAATGCCACACAGTTAACCTGCTAACAAAAAGATGAGAAGCTCAAGTCTACCCAAAGGCACCTTGGAAGAAAGGTCTGAGTATCTACTTCTAAAACTTCAGTGATTGAAAATGCTATGAAGTACAGTTCTACTCGGAGACACATAGGGTTGCCTTGAGTTGGAGTCAACTCAACAGCAACTGTTTTCTTTTAAGCCTGTTATGCCCAAACTACCCATGTATTATCATGATCATCATTGTTGATATGATCATACTTATTATTTTAACTCAGAAGCACCATCTAACTTTGTCCCTGTTGCATGTAACCTGAACATAAACCAGAGGACCACATGGCCCAGTCTATGCTTGGCTCTGCATTCAAGAAAAGCAGACCTCACCCAAAGTAATGACAATATTCCAATTCTTCATGTGTGTCTCCCAGAGAATAACACAGGAAAGCCAAGTTGTCATCCACAATAGTACTTCTGAAAGCTCCACTTAGGGCTGGGCAGAGTGAGACAGAGAAAGAAGGTGTGTTCTGGAGCTGGTTGCTGCTGTAGGCAGTTGGGACTCAGTCTCCTGGAAGACCTCTGGGAGACTGAGTGGGCAGGCTCAGAATTGTTCCACCAAAGGGACAATGAGCTGAGTATTCACACACCAGCTCCTGTCCATCCTTGATTGAAGACTTGATTAAAAACTCCATTCCTCCACCCCTTGAACACTGAAATTCGACAACTGTTCTCTTATCTCTGTGGCCCTCTACACCCAAGTGTGCCTCCCTACTTAACCATCATAAACTTCCTCTCCTGCCCTCTAAAACATGGGCTGTTTCCATGGTGACCAGTGGCCAGGATGGTGTTGCATCTTCTCAGTTGTCTCAATTGTACTATGGATGAAGATACATGGAGTTAACCTTGAAAGTACCTAGTTTAGCTCTGCTTTTCTTAAAAGAAGTGCTCAACTAGATTTTTCATTAACAAAACCCTTCACCTCATGATCCTACCTTCACCTTGTGGCCATGCCTGTGTTTTGTCTGTTGTTGAGTAGAAGATACAGGATGATGCAAGATGCAGTGAAGAAATCCAAGAGCTCAGAGTTTTTGCTCTATGGAATTTTCTTTTATTCCCAGTCTGTGGGAGTCAGAGCTCTGAAACATGCAGGAATTACCCCTTAGAATAGAGAACTGGTTGTGAGCCAAATTGCAGAACCTTCATCTGGGGGCGGTGTCCGCCTTCACTGAGCATGTTAACTAACATCCACTACCATGTTTCAATCAACTCCCCAAGGATTTCCAGAATCAAGTCTTCACTCAGAATGTCAGGAAGCAGCAGTGGCCACAATTCACCTCACCTCCCTCTTGAGAGCCCAAATCTGTGAAATATGTTCCTATCTAAGTGATTCCACCTGAGAAAGAACTGGCTGGCTTCAGCCAAGAGGCTGTAAATCAAGTGTTTAGTGTCTTCCCACCAGTCTGACTTATTAAAAGCTTCCATGGTAGATGGAACCTTATTGAATTTCCATAAATCTTGCTTTAGGCCACTTGCCCAGGATGTTGATGTCCTAGGAATCTGTATGGTGGGTGCAGAAAAATGCTGAGAGAAGGTTTGTGGAGGAGGTAAAAGAGAGGGCAGCCAGGGAGTGGGTGTCAAATCTACTGGGCATTCCATGGACCACTTACACGGCACAGCCATTCTCTGAGCAGGCCTATGGTTCTGCGCCAGATATAGAAACAATGACTGTCTCCATTTGGTCCTTTGAAAGCTGGATTCTCCCTTGGCTAATGTGAGACACTACAGAAGTAGTCCCTGAGAGCAGGGTTCAAAGGTGAGGAGTTTATCGGGGGAGGTGATGTTGTGATGTCCAAAAGCTCCACTTAGGGCTGGGCAGAGTGAGACAGAGAAAGAAGGTGTGTTCCGGAGCTGGTTGCTGCTGTAGGCAGTTGGGACTCAGTCTCCTGGAAGACCTCTGGGAGACTGAGTGGGCAGGCTCAAAATTGTTCCACCAAAGGAACAATGAGCTGAGTATTCACGTACCAGCTCTTGTCCATCCTTGATTGAAGACTGTTGTCTGGACCTGCCCTACAATGCCAGCTCTCCTGCATCACTTGCTCGGGGTGTAATGGCAAGGTTTACTATTCCATCAGCCTCTCAGAGTAGACCAGAGAGGTTCCAAGCCATTCTTTACTCCCTTCTTCCTGTGACTTATTTTCCAAGCGCTTTGGCATCTGGGAGCAAGGCAGACTCCGTGAGGGAAGCCCCCTGATTTATGTGCAGCCCAACATCTTCATCTTGCTCGGGGTTGGGAGGATGACGGAGGCAGTTATTGTTTGGGATTTTGGTTTTCCTTTGCAAGACATTAGCAAATAAAAGTCTCCTAAGTCTTCGGTTCTCTAATGTTCCAATAGCAACATTTAGAATGCTTAAAGATGATCCCACCAGGCTTTAGGGCAGATTAAGGAGTTTACAGTTACATGGGCAGTTGAAGCCTAGAGTTTGGACAGACAGGGTTTCCACTAATATCTAGGTGACCCAGGCTCTGTGCCTTCCATCTGGATCCATTGCCAGCAATTTTGGCAGCATCTTCGGGGCTATTGGCAGAGTGCACACACTAGTGAGAACACTAGTACTCAACCTCTGACCCAGTGACACCATGCCATCCTCTTCCTGGGACATCTTTCTTGGTTTCTCCATCTGGAGAACTGTCTCCTTTTCTGAGCACTGTCTCTGGATTCCTTTGTTGATGGGAAAATCCATTCTCCTGTCACTTGACTGGAAACTCTCCTTTCTTGGCTAAATCATCCTGGAGCTTACTAATTGAGTAGCGTAGCACATTCTTCTGTCTTCTGTGTTTTCTGTAAATGAGTTAATTGGACCTAGAGACTTATCAGATTCAGGTTTGATAGTTTTGGCAAGACTTTATAGGTGGCATGTTGTTCTATCAAGAGGCCTGTGATGTCTGGTTGTGTCTCTGTTTGTGATGCTAGCATCTTTTGATGTTCAACGCTTAGACCAATTAGGACTTCAAATGTTGCAAATCCATGCTGATGTAATCCTGTCATGTCTTATTTTGTTTTTACTTTATAAACTGGAATAATTCTATTTGGGTACCTCGTGGCTCAATTCATATAGACGATAGGAAATAAATACTCACGTCTCTCTCTCTCTCTCTCTCTCTCTCTCTCTCTCTCTTTTTTTAAATAACTATGTGGTTTCTTAGCTTTCTGCAAATTAGTTAATTTGGTGTTTTTAAGAATATTGTGAGCTCTTGGATTTAAGCACATTTGATGCCTCAATATTTTGTAGTTATTCTTCCTTTCGATGTTCAAATTGTCCCATCCTTAGTGAATGGTAGTCTATTCAAGTAGGCTCATGAGTTCTTTTTTATTAACTTTTAGTAGCATTTCTTTGTGTTTTCAGTGCAGGCTTACTCAGCACTTTAGCTTCCCATTTGACAATTTCTACAATAACTTGTTCAGTGATGTTGTTCACATTCTCCACAATGGTTGAACATCGTCATGACTTCCATTCTGATTATTCCATTTGCATTCATCTAGTTGGCTCCTGGGGAGCCTGGTGACTCCATATGCTAAGCACTGGACTGCAAACCACAAGGTCTGAGGTTGGAGCCTGCCAGCTACTCTGCAGAAGAAAGATGAGGCTTTCTGCTCCCACAAAAAAACTCAGAAACCCAATACAGGGTCACTGAGTCAGAAATGACTGAAACACACTTAACAGTGAGAACTGCTGGCTCCTGAGTGTTTCTTGGCACCAGCCTAGAGGTCGTTGATCATTTCCTTGCTTTCTGAAATGACAAGATGCTATACTATGTGTATTTCTTGGCCAGAACTAGGATCAGTCATTTCTCCAAGGAGGTATAATTCTTTTTAATGGAAATCAGTAGGAGAAGACCAAAATTTAGGTGTGAAGGTAACATGGTCCTGGTGTGGCATTGTAGGGTAAGGCACTGGACTGCAAGGTTGGTTTAAACCAC